CTTCCACAATATTAACCTGTTTAAAGAAGAAGAAAAAAAGAGAAAAAGAAATGGTAATCAGTGCATTACATATTATAGTTTTGGTCTGAAATTAAGCAATACGTATAATACACAAACTGCATTGCAGTTTCTGTTTGTGTTTGTGCTGAGAAATTAAGACAGTTTCATTCAACTTACAAAATTTTGAGCAATGTCAATACACTTTTCTTCTTTTCTAGGTCTCAACGATCTAAGTGGATTGTAGTGCCTCCAGTTTCGTTCAATTTTGTGAAATGTGAGAAGTGTAAAGTGAAACTCATAACTTGAAATGATCGGGAAGAAGAGAACATTGCATTTCCCGAGTTTTTCAAGTAAGTGTTCATACAGGGCCCTATGCCAATTTGGTTCTAAAAAGGTTTGCATGTAAGCCTGCTATCATTGAATGGCAATTTGTTAGTATATATTTTTCGAAAACTGCAGTGCCATGTCTGTTTAAACAATTTTGAATTTTCAAAACCTGTGCAGGTGTAGGGGGGCCTTCTTTTTGCTTCACACGTTTTGGTATTGTTTTAGTTTCTAAGAACTCTTGTGCTTGTGGTCTGATATATTCTAGCCACCCTTCCACAATATTAACCTGTTTAAAGAAGAAGAAAAAAAGAGAAAAAGAAATGGTAATCAGTGCATTGCATATTATAGTTTTGGTCTGAAATTAAGCAGTACATATAATACAGAAACTGCATTGCAGTTTCTGTTTGTGTTTGTGCTGAGAAATTAAGACAGTTTCATTCCACTTACAAAATTTTGAGCAATGTCAATACACTTTTCTTCTTTTCTAGATCCCAACGATCTAAGTGGATTGTAGTGTCTCCACTTTCGTTCCATTTTGTGAAATGTGAGAAGTGTAAAGTGGAACTCAGAACTTGAAATGATCGGGAAGAAGAGAACATTGCATTTCCCGAGTTTTTCAAGTAAGTGTTCATACAGGGCCTTATGCCAATTTGGTTCTAGAAAGGTTTGCATGTAAGCCTGCCATCATTGAATGGCAATTTGTTAGTATATATTTTTCGAAAACTGCAGTGCCGTGTCTGTTTAAACAACTTTGAATTTTCAAAATAATTCTTACCCAAGTCCATGTAGACATGTACTGTGGACTATCTGTCTGCATGGGCCCTATTTTCTCCTCCTCTATTTGGATATAGGCCTCAATAACCTGTTTCACATTGATTGGAGAAAAATGGAATTATTAATGGGTGATATAGGTAGCACAAATAAAAAATGCAGTGCAATGTGTGTTATAGAATTAGTATTTTTATATTTACGTTTTGTGACAATTACGTTTTGTGACAGTTCCAGGTCCCATACAATATCTTTGATATCATGGTTTGTCACTTTCTCATTATCGAGTCCTGCCCAAAAGTTATCACTGCGGATTCGAATACATGAAATTCACAAGATTAGTTTTAGTTTATTGTAATTAAAAGATGAAAGAGTTGTTCTTTTGGAATAGAGATATTACCTAGGTTGAGTACTTAAGTAGTATTCTTGAATTCTGTCCCTGTCCTCCTTTGAAATTTTCTACCAAACCTTCTTTTGACCCCA